GTCTGGATATGTTATTTGAAAGTCACCGCGTTTACATGCTTACATAGTTAACAGCGGCACGATCTGCGCGAGATAACGGCAAGACAGCTTAAGCGAGCACGCTTCTCATGTTTTTCTTTTCTCAGGGAGTTTCCACCGGTTTACATAAATATATAATCGCTTTTCGATCTAAACAAGATTTCACTGCCCGCGAATCACTGCGAGGCGACGACCTCGCGTCTGAACCCTCGCGTTTCAAAACCCGTTCGAGCGAGACGATAAGATACCTTGCCAAGTATTTAGATGGGATATACTAAATACAGCGCACCTGCGTGAACGCAGAATTTTAATCGATCTATTTTAATCGATCGATAATTGCTCCAGTGAGCAGATGTAAAAAAGTTCGTGTGTAATTTGCTATACAATATAATACATCAGAGCTTACTCCGTCATTGATGGCGATCCATTAGAAACAGAGTCAGATCATTTGCAACGTATAATTGTTAATGACATTGATATGCAATACAAATATCTATAGTTTTTTTTTTACACGATGCGAGCTTTTGTATCAAAGATAAAAAATATTAGATACACTTTTTACAAGAATTATTCTTATAAAAAAAAATCTATGGATTTCTTCATCGACGTCTGTGCGAAAGCGCGTCATCGTATCTCGAAAATTATAAATTCAAACAGACTCTTCTAGATTCGCGAACGACTGTGTGTTATCATTGCTCTCCTCGATGTGTTTCATCTCTTGTACAACAACGAGGGAAGTGAAGCCGCGAGGCAAAGTGGAAGCGAAGAGGAAAACGTTGGGGAATAATTAAGAGAGTCGTCGACTGGCACGACCGTAAGTCCGTGATCTTGAAGCGGCATTCTTGTGTCGTGGGAGTACTTCACATAGTTAGCATCGCGGAAGAATGCGAGCGAGAGACAGGAGAACGTTATGAAGGCGGAGTGAAGAGGGGTAAAAGAAGAGGAAGCCAGACGGAGGCAGAGTCATGCGGAGGAAAAAAAGAGTGACAAGCGGCAACGGCATAATTAATGATTTCTTACAATTAGCGTTTTCACTGATCTTGACTCAAACCACAACATCTTTCAACAACACTTGCGCTCGTTTCCGATGTCGCTCGAATGTTCGAGCACAAACGTGAATTTTGGGTGAAACGGCGGCAAACTGAGTCAATTCTACGTTCTATTAAAAAATACCAAATACATACAAGATGACGGCAATTACTTCTTTAATCTCCTTCTCTTTGTCCCTTCTCTTATTTCCGTTCCTTCCGTTTATTTTTGTATCTTATATCAAAGATTTATTAATAAAAGATTTATTAATAAAAAATGAGGTTGTATTATCTAAAACTGGTATTAAAAATAATATTAAGTATCGGTATTAAGAAATTTCCGGTTTGGTTTATGGCGACTGACGGGTGATTTCAACGACGCGCTCGGGTGATTTCAACGACGAGCCATGAATGAAGCTTCGAACGCGGAGATCGCCTGCCGAGCGCGCGCGCGCGCGCGCTTCACCTTGCTCCCTGGCGTGTTTAATTGCACGAGGAAAAGTGTCGCAGTGCACTTTCTCCCGCCGTGAGAAAAACAAATAATAAAACCCGCATAAAGTGCGCATTTAAAACAGACTTATATTAATGAATGTACGCGTATTAAATGTTGGCGAAGTATCGAGGAAAGCGTTCCGGTGCGAGAAAATACGAGCATAATGAGAATTCAATCATCGTTAAAATGATCTTGTACGTGTCTCGTATATGTTTCAATATTTTCTATAAAAGGCATTTTATAGACGATCTCGCCGATGATAAAAGTTTTCAAAGCCGGTCGACGTAAACGCTCGGTCGAGCCGGTAGCCGGAGATGACCCTAATTTGTACGTTGCGCCTCTGTGTGTGTGTGTGCGCGTACATCTGCGCGTGTATATGTGTGCGAGAAACTTCACTTCCTGTAATACGCATATCAGCGGCACGTCGCCGGAGGAAGAAGGAGAGGAGAGGACCGGAATCGATTGGCCGCAGCTGCGTGGCATTATGAAGCAGAAATGCGTTCGTTAGCTGCGCTGGCGTGCGCCAGCGACGACTCTCTGCGTTGTAATCGCATGCAAGCAAAGTTCAGGAAAAGAGCACGTCCCGGCTATGTTTATCCTATGATTCAGCGCTACCCGGCCAATCGTAGGCCGACCGTTTTGCGCAGCCAGGAGTGTCGAGCGAGCGATAGATTGGCGCGTCCTCGAGACGAACAAATCCATCCGATATACAAGATCTATGCCGTTTTCTCATTTAATCTTTTATTTGCAATTATATAAGTTGCATTATCGAAAAAGGTAATACTCTCGTTTGCGCTTACTTAACAACTAATATGAATTACATAATTAATTACCTGTAAAATTTGGTTTCTTTGTGATTTAAAAAATTTTTAATTAAATCGCATCTCATATTTTATCTTTCTTTATTCATATTCTTCTTTCTTATATTTTAATTGATCTATGTGTCTCTAACTCCGATCTTGTTTAATTATTCATAATTTAATCAGCAACTCTGAGCGTCATCGGTCGCAATATTAATTTCCTCAAAGCGCCACGTGTTCGACAATGAGGCAAATTACTGACTGAGAGATGTCCTGTCTAAATTTTGCCACGTAAACTCGCGTGATCGCGGTAAATTTCACGCCGCGATGAATTTCCCTGAGCGTTGAAATGTCAAACTTGAACTCGCGTCGCGTCGATGTCACTCGCGACGACGTGGTTCGGCTCGAGCCCGTCGCTGGGAGCTGATTTCGCGCGAGAAAGAGAATCCTGAGGAACGAGCGAGGCGCGCGCTCCTCTCTCGTCGCCCGTGCCGGCTTATGTAAAGCACACAAGTAATGAAACGCGTATCTCTCCGCGAGACGGTGAACGATGATATAAGAGAGTTTGTATATGCGGCGGATCTTTCTCGATCGGTCTCTGATCCATATTATAGAATAAAGGTGGGTGTAACGTATAACGGGATACGCACACCGTCATGTCCGCGCAACACCACCCACGTTCGATAGGATCGTCCAAACGTTTCATATGCGATTGTAGCCCAAGGGCGAGGACGTGTGGGAGGGAGGCGATCCCGGAAAATCTCGACGCGTCCGGCCGCGATATCCTCTCGTAATAAGATGAGATCGATCGTTCCGCTCTCTCTTAAGAGAACCACGTTTGCAACAACAGTTTCATTAATATCCTTTGAAAAGAGAAATAAAATGCAAATAAAACCTCACCGGAATACGATTATCGCATCGCGTTATAATTTTCGGCAAGTTCCCTCGCGAATATATTTTCGATGGAAAGCGTCGGACAGTTGCGCAATCCGGCGGTCAGAAATTGCGGCGAATCTGCGGACGCGCGTGGAAAACTTAGGCGCGCGGGCAACGCGCGTAACGTTTTTGGTTTACATAACGGTGCGCGAGGCTCGGTCGCGGGATATCGTTGCGCGAATGTGGGCAAACGATTTGGCGCGCGGGGACTCGATGAGTAAAGGCAAGTTTGAGACTGAGAAACCGCCTCTCGATTAGGTAACGCGCGCGCCTAACGAACCAACGCGCGTAACGTGCGAAAAGGTGAAATGTTAGTAGTTTTCATCTGTAATTCCGCGGTTATTATACGCGCGGTGTGATCGTAAGTAAATATCGTGTGCGTGTATAGGCGCAAGGATACACCATCATTCCTCGCCGCCAATGACGGATTTCATTGGTAATAAAGGTCGCGATCTTTCTCCGGCGCGCTCACATTGCGCGCGCTGCGAGCGAAAATCACGTAATTGCACGTTGAATGCACCGATTTCACCGAGTCCCCACACGCCGATCGCGTGTACGACGGCCGCTTAAAGCTATTTTTCTTTACGCGTGGTGTTTTTTATCGGATCGACGGGTCATCATCGAGGTCGTCGATTGCCTCTTACGTAACGCACTGTAAATGAACATCAGTCTATTTTTTTCTTTTTTTATAATAAAAATTTGTTTTTTGTATAATACATTTTCTTGATGCACCGATTATGAATGATAGAGAAACGAATGACATAGGCGTCATTCAATTTTTTAATATTTAGTATATCTTGATTTTTATTTTTCATTAATTATGACGATTTTATTATAAAAAAAAAAGTATAACATATAGCACGTCAATAATAATTGAATAAATAAAAAAATAAAAGACAATCGCGCGTGCTCTTTCTTTTTCTCTCGATTCCTTCAAAACTGCACATTCGCTAATTCTATCAGAGAGGAACGCGTGTAAAATTAATCTAACAATTCCAGTTTGTCGGGAGTTCTGGACTGTGAGAGACCGCGATACTTTCTATCTGGAACCCCGAACACGCCGCGATACAATTTCACTTGTTCCGCGGTGTTTCTGTGCAGCTCCGCCCACGAGAACTTAACGCAACCGGGCGTCGGCGTTATGCCTCTCACCGGCGACGACCGGCCAAGGGATAAAGTGAAAAAAAAAAAAAATAGTAGCGGCTGTAACAGCAGCAGCCGCAGCGAACACAAAGAAATAGAGAGAACCCGTGTGTGTAGGAAATACTTCCGGGTTCGCGGTACTTGTGGGACGACGTTGGTCACGCGATTCACGCGCTCAGTTGATAATTAGCGAAGAGAAGCAGAAGGATTGCCTTCTTGAAGGACTTCTCAGGAAGTCGCGCCTAGGGATAAGAGACGTCGTTAACGAACCTACGCAAATTAAATCTCGCAATTACTTACATTGACTGATTTTTCTGGAATTAAATTTTAATTGGAGGTTTTAACGCGAGAGAGCTTTGTGTGCGTTAAAATTTTAGTCTATTTTCGTCACAAACTATTGTCGAAGTTTATTCAATAACTTTCTTTCATATCGTACCACTAGTTGTATAAAAGAACAGATTTCTTGATAGTTGGTAGTTATATTATGTGTGAGAGATACATAATGTTTAATATTTAGTGATAATTATAAAATTACATATAATTTGAAAAAAAAAGAACAAAAGTGCATTTCAAACTACTCACTCATCAGTTACATTGCTGCCATCTACTGTGAACGCAAGGATCGAAAAGAAAGAGATCTCTTGTTGATGCTGGTACATTCTACGCCATCTGTAATACGACATCTCGCAATAAAAACACTCGTATAAAAGATTATCAACAATTGTAAAAGCAGAATTAAGTGCAAAATATTTACACATCGATAATGTAACAAAAATTTTATAAATTATATAATTACAACACAAACATGTATCTTTTTCCAGATCAAAGAATTACAAAGTTATTTTTACAATAAATAATTAGTTTTTGCGTTCAAAATACTTAGTTATTTTAAAAAAATATATTTTCTAATATTTATTTATTTCTTAAAAACTAAATTATGTAGTTTCTTTTTGTCCAATAATAATATTTAAATAGATGACTGTATAGTTCTCAATCATAAAGCATAACATTTAAGAAAACTTTTATCTAACAAGTGGAAATTAAAAAAAATATTCTATTTGTTTTATTAACACACTTTGTGAAAGATAGATTTAAAAAGATAGATTATTTTTTTACATACTTACCTCTGTCTGCAAATTAAAAAATATAAGAAACTTTCAGCTTAAACTTAAATATAACATTGAATATATTAAATCATCATGAGGAAAAAGTTCTTTTTGTCTGGTTCGATGGTTCGAATCTTTATGATCGCGTGATAAAAGTGTGTATCGCGTATATAGCAGGAAACGCGTCATTACTAACAATCTGATATTGGCGAGTGACATATAATTCAAATAAAAATCCAGCAAGGAGAAGCTAAACAAAGCGCGAGCCCACCAATGACGCAACATGTGGGTCAAATATTTTAGCGACAATTATCGTACGTAGTAACGATTTTAGGCCCGGTCTCTTAAACGATCGTTATAATAGCGTTAAACAAACCAACTCAAGCGTCAATAATAAGTCCGTATAATTAGCGACAATTATAGCTCATCGTTATTCAATCGAGCTGGCAATAAATTAAAAACTTACATTAGCACGTGCGGTTTTAAATATCCAGTGACAAATTGGCGGACAGTATCAACGATGCGTTTCTTATTACGGTTTTTTTATTTCAGTATCAAGTTTTTGAAACACTTTTTTATTTTCTTTTCTATAAATAAAAAAAAAAATAAATCTCATTCGCACCTCGTATTTTCTTCAAATTACAGAGTCGAGAATAGCGTACTTTGCGCATCAAGCCGAATACATTTCCATATAATTGATACTGACAGAGATACATTATCGGATGCACAGCGAGAAAGAGATAAAAACGTATTGAGCAACGTTGAAAAAAATGATCGTTTGTAAAAAGCAAGCAAACAGTCTCTGAGACACGACTGTTTGACTTGAGATCGGTTTGATCAAGATCAGGGTCGCGCTTTCGTTAAAATGTTAGCATGCAAAGTTCTTCCATTGCTCTTTCGCTCTTTTCGTTTCCACTTACGATCCACTTACGGCTGACTCTCGCGCATTAATAGAAGCAAAGATTTGTACACCGAGCGCGAGAGTGCTCACATATGTGTCATACGCGATTTTACGCAACGCGATGTAACGAGATAAGAGTTTTGCTTGCAGTAAACAAAAATAGACTATACTGCAAAGCTATTTCAAATATCGTGTCGTTTCTTCTCGCGAGAATCAACCGAGTTGATGGCTCGGAAAGATAATATAAGAAAGATTTATAGTTTTCAATTTGTAAATATACATGTTCTCGAAACAAATTTATTAATTTTATTTTTTTTTTATCGCTTTTATTTGTTAACGCTCGCAAGATACGAATTTGCTGTTAATACTCTCGACTGTCGTGTACAGCCGGAGCAAAACCATACGTGTGTACACCTGAACAATTACAAGTTACACGCATTGCATATAAATATGTGAAAAATTTCAACAATTTCTCTTTTGCAAGTCAAATACTTCTCTGAGCAATTCTACTCATACTAGAAAAAACCGGTTGTAGAGAGATTACGACCTCGTGTTGCTTTCGTGAACAAGCTCGAGTATAGCTCTTCGGTCAGTTTTTCCACATGTTTGGAACCGGAGTTCATCGTATCACATTTTCTAATTACGTAACTCTTTCTCTCTATCTTTCTTGATGAACAGACTTACTTAATTACGTAACTTAGAAAGTGTTTATCTCTTTTGTTTGATAAAATTTTGTTTTTTAATTTATGAACTTTTTTATCCATTCGAAACAAACTATTTATAAATGGAAGATTTAAATGCAAAACATTATTTAAGTAAACAAGACGTATTAGAATTTTCTCGAGAGAATCGTGTGTTTAAAACTTGCAATCAAACTCGAGTCCTTGCACGGGTGGTACGTAACACGTGCACATGCGTAAGTAACAACCCTGAGGAGAACAAATGAAGTACGGTAGTATGGGTGGTCACGTATTTATACCAGCACGCATACGCTTGTTACATCTATGTACGCGTGCGTGATAATACACGTTACGCCTTGACCTTAGAAGTGTCTCTATCAGATCCACCAAGTTACCTTCATCAGAAAAATATCACTTATAATTATGAACAAAACTTTCTTTTTGTTTTGTTGTATTTATCTTGTAAAAACGAGAAAAATATAATTTACAATATGCAAAATGTAAAATAATAATTTTTTTTCTTTATACATATGTGCATTCGCATCCGCGAAACATTTGCACAAACTTTTGCATCATTTCTGCGGCATATTTCAAGGAAATAAAAAAATTTTGCTCGAATATTGTTTCAAAACAGACGTTGATTGTTGTATTTTTTTCGCTGAACACATGTCGCACGTGACGTGCACTATGATGTGACGTGTAATTGCAGAAAAACTATCTACGGACATCTTTCTTGAGCGTTGCTAATTTAAAAACACGTTTTGCACGAAAGAAGCGCGTGAGCGTTATGCGTTTAATCGCAAACAGTTTGCGTCTAATTGGCTTCAAGGAAGTTTGGTATATATATATATACATTGTGCTTGAATTGTCTGCACAGAGTCGCACGAAAGAATCACTCTTAATCCCGGGGATTGAGCAATCGATGCACTTTGAAGATTATTTGCGACAGAAATCGTAATTAATACATCTCTCTGTATCTTCGTAACGATGTGGTATCACCGGTATTGTCATTATTCAAGAAAGATATGAAACACCGACGAGCTGATTCCCGGATAAAAGACATTTATCCAGTTTAGATGCAATTAGACCTATCTCAAATCTCACTTCCAGCAAGGCTGGTGGAAGGTTATGCTGAATTGCGCTTGACAATGATCACGTGCTGAGAAACGAGTACAACGCGAAATACGAACAGGTCGACAGCCTTCGTGTACATGTAAAGTACCTCGATTGTCGAAAGTTCTTTTTTTAGAGTTGAGTAGTGAATTACAAAAGCGAAGTTCTCTTTTTAAATGATTTCAAGCACTTGGTACACACACCTACGAAATAATATACTTACAAAGTATATTATTTTTTTTTCTTTTTTGCAAAAAACATTTCTACGTGTGTTTCGAAGATTGAGACGTTTCTTCGTTTTCCTCTGACGAACGCGACAGTACGAAAAGACGGTGCACAATCTCTCTGCACGTCGACGAAACCCGACCTTCTGATACTCTCCGCCAACGAGTCGGATGTGTTTAGGGTCAATTTGTCTATTATCTCGTTGTCAGTTTTATTTATTACACTTCTAAACGTCTCTCACGACGCGGTACGTGCGACTTCCACCAGTCTGAGATTTCTCGGTGCAAGTTAATTAATTCTGATTGATCCCGCGACGGTGGTCGCTCAAAATGTTATACTTTGCGTGACCAACTCTCTTAGAGATCAACGTACTCCGAGATTTATTTGACCAATAGACGTTCATAGAGATATATATGTATCTTCAATCAAAGTGTTGTGTTACAAACGTAAGTTTTGGTAGCCAGCATTTAGACGTTTTTTTCTTAGGTATAGTTGACTTCCACGTGTATATCAATTGTTTGGGTACGTAAGCTTTTGCATCAATAAACTTTTATTGTAAAATCGACATATATTTCTCTTACAATTATTGTTCACATTAATTAATTATTGTCCATATTAATTGTTTATCTTAATTATAATAAATCAATATACGTATTTCTCTCTCTCTCTCTCTCTTATAATTATTGCCCATATTACGTTTATTTTATTTTATATTATGTCTTTTATATATAAAAAAAAAAAGGGAATTAGGTCAATACGAGCAGATTGGATGTTAAAAATATTTGGTTTTTCTTTTTTCTCTCATTTTTCTGGTTTTTCTTCTTCAGATGTTTCTCTTCTCACTTAGGATCTTCTTCTGAATAAGAAACAAAAATTATCTAAAATAGATAATAAACATAGATTATAAGAAGAAACTTTGCAAAACAAAATTAGAATCATTTACAAAACCAACATATCGTATGATAAATTTCATTCGCACAAGTCGCTAACAAATTGCATACTCTGAAATCAGAATGTTAAAATCGCACAAAATTATCACAATTTGCTACATCAAGCGAAAATGGCAATAGATTTAAGTAAGGTAAAAATGAGTGAATGTTAAAAGGTTAAAAAAAAATAAAGAACAAAATGTGACGAGAATAAATCGTTTGAAGTACTTCACAACGTTCAAAGTACGGTACTATGTTGTAATGTGTAATCTTATATACTGTTTAGATGATATAAACATAGACATACTTTGACAAAACTATCAAGACGCGTCAAATATTTGTAATGAGCAGTCGTGAAAAAAAATCAGTTGTCCTGAATATTGCTCACAAATCCCAATAAATTTTTAATATCAGAAAAAACACGATTAATCTCTCATCGCTGTTTTCTTTGTTTTCAACTGTTGTCAACTGTTTATTTTATTCAATTTAGTTGAGATTAATGTTTTTTAACTTAATATTAATATGTTCAAAGATAAAAGAAAGAGAGTAATTATTATCTAAAATCGTTATCTAGATTAATACAGATTCTTTTGATAAAAGCATGAATGTGACAATAAACAAGTTTTATCAACTGTATCAAACTCTGTATACCGTGTCAATCTTGTGACTTACGGTCGATTTCTTCACACCTCTCGATAACTATCCTCTGAATAAATTCCTCTGAGAACCAATAAAAGAAACCAATTTTGGGAGATATCTTCTAAATAAAGTTATCGAAAACTTATCTAGAAGTGAAAAAACTGGCTGTTAGAGGATGATGGGAAAAATAATGGAAATATCTAGAACGAAAACTCCATTGGACGTCCGTTAAACAGCTCCGTGCGATATCTAACAATAATAGATGTCTAATGGAGGGTTTTGCTCTATCTATCAGAAAATATTTTTTTGTAAAACCAATCTCTCTATCAATGTAAACCACTTTTTTCAAAAAACATTTACTCGTTTATTTAAAAAATATTTTTCTTTCCTTACTATTTCCTTCGACACAATTTTATTAGAAAAATAAGTATTTCATTGTCATCAACTTGTACGAACTTTTCTACCGGGGAGGCACCTTCGATTGATACGCGACTGTGTACGTGGGTGGAGGAACAGCCTGGTAGCACGATCGGCGGCACGGGGAGTTAATGTGACAGTCGTGAGCGCGATTCCGTCGCGCCGCGTACTTGAAGAGCTGCTCGTCGTAGGAGCCGCAAGCGGACCGGTAGAAACACGAAAAAAGGACCCTCTCCCCTCTTCACGAAAAAAAAAAGAGGATTATTTTCCGTCAAAGCAATCGTCAGAACGCGTTCAGTCTGTTCACGTCGGTTGTCGGAAACGCAACCCCCGAGAATCGTTCTTCCCTGCGGAGGATCTTGCTTCTTCCTTTATTCTTCTCGAAGATCTTCACAAAAAAAAGAATCGGACGAGACTTCTAATCGAATTGAGAAGTGCGTCTTCCGTGTGTGCGCGAGTTTTCGAAGACCTCGATCGACTACCACGTGAAAAAATCGATTGTGAATCGATTGGGATTCCGCGGTGAACAAAACTTTCGAGTCGAGACTGTTTCTTCAATTGGACAAAATCGCTGGTAAGATCATAGACAGTGTGTGTGTGTGTGTGTGTGTGTTGTCATTTGATTGATGATTTAAGATCGCGAGATCGTGCTTGGTGTCGGAATTGTTCTAATTGCTTTGCAAGATTGCGCGATTTTAGTATCATATCCGTTAAACTCATCCTCATTTACGAAACTGCACAACTTCTCACGTGCTTCCCGTTCGTAACAAGGAAGTACATGTACATGTCATGTACATACGCTGTGGTTTCGTAAAGAGGAAAAATGTTTTCAGCACATTCAGGTTAATCATGTATCTTTCGACCTAATAAGAGGTGACCTTAATTGCTGCTAATCTGCGATAAGGCATTAAATCATGGCAAATAACGCTTTATGAAGCGCGTCTATGCTGATCAGAGAATTTAAGGATTATATATGATTCATAGAATCGTTCTAATATATATAATAGATAAGACAGGCTTTGAGATATAAGATTAGGATAGATACAGATAGATGTTGGATAAAAATGTATTGTATTAAATATTTGTCGAAAGAAGTGGGTGGACAAGAAATAAAATTTCACACACATTTTGAAGCATTTATTACATTATTTTTGTATTTATTACGAGTATCTTTCAGAATCTGTCGCACGTGTCTAGCGCCGACCGATTGTCCTCGCAAATCGCTTCATTGGAAAAGCACAAACTTTTTCAAAATTTTCTCTTTTTATTCTGTACAAAAGGCTGTTTATATCGAAAGCGACAAACGTCGGAAAACAAGGTCAAAGAAAGTTTTAAATGATAAAGAAGAAACGATAATACGAGAAAAAATGTTTCAAACACGCGTCTATTTACAACGTCAACGATCGCTGTCTGAAGGAGATGTCATGAATTTAATGGAATATATGTATATCTCTATCTCCTCGAGTCGCGATTAGATTTGTGATTTATCATATTTTCCACATTTCTACATATAATTGCAAAGCTATTTTAAAACAACTTTTTAATATCATTAAAAATTCATTACGCGTAACATCTGATAATTAGTTTCAATTAGCGTCATTAATTTTCATCGAGAATTTTAATTTAACGTAAAGCACCGTAGATGTGAAAAGATGGAACTTGTGGAAAAAAAATTTGTTAATAACCCGTTAGAAATTTTACACAAAAGCATGAGGTTTGTTAAAAGACGCAGCTTGTATAACATCACTGCATAATATTGTGACATTGATGCCAGCAGAGCGTATAGTATCTTGCTGCTTCTCTTGTGGTGTTAATTGTTGCGCTCTTCGTATTGTCGCGGATCTGGTTCGAGCTGCTCGCTTATGTTTACTTTGCATAAATTTCAATTTGCTTGTGTCAGACGCAATGCACACAGGTGCCGCTTTTTTGATAACACGCCGCCGTACCGATGTTTTATCCACAAAAGATAAATAATACGAAATAAAGGAACATTTTCCGGAACGATAAGGAAAAACGTAAAAGAAAATGACGTAAGCGCAATCAGGAAAGAAACGCGAAAAATGATTATGTCACGATGACAATGGCCCACACCTATCTCCAAAATGTGGTGGTGTCTGAATCATCTGCTTTATCTTTATCCATTAATCGATTCCGTTCACGATTCTCGTGTAGTCTATTCTGTAGCTTCCTCGGAAGATCATCAACTTCCTTCAGATTGTCGCTTTTATTCAAACAACGTTCTTTTATACACGACGGGAGACGACGCGACGTTTCTCCCCGGGAGCGTATGAAAGCTCGGGAATGATGACGACGATGCTCGTCGACACGTGGTGGTATGAATCACCTGCTGTAGTATGTGCGTGACCAGTACGACTATAGAAATGTTCTTTTCATCAAGAGAGTCTATAGATCGACGTCGTTTATTTCTCCTTGTGAGACCATCTAACTATATTGTCCGCCTATATGTATGCATTATCTAACAAGTAATTGTCGTCGCCGCGATCTATTTTTCATTCGCGTTACATCAAAGCAGCGCCGAAACTCGACGAGTCTTCCTCGCGCGCGAGCTTCCTCGTGCACGTTTTTTTTTTTTTGTTTTTTTTTTATCACGCGAACGAATTTTTGGCACGCTCGAAAAGCGTTTTCGTTACTCTTCGCGACGATAACCGCGAGGATAACCGAAAGTGCGCGGGCATTTTCTCCGATGACCCAGTCGGACTCGGTTTTGCTCGATATATCGATCTTCTTTCTGGAAACTAGAGAGAGAAGCGCGGGACTCCGATAAACACGCTAGGTCGCGAAACGGCAAATACGAGATCGTCAGCGAGAATCGTTGCGTTTGCGAACTCAGTCGACATTTTTGCGAAAGGGAGAGACGTGAGATTAAAGGGTGCGAAAGGAGCTTCGGAGAGCTCCGACGATGAAACGTGCGCCCACATCTGAGTGGAAATGAGAGACCCCCTCGTTCTCTCGAAACACATGTGTATATTACATTCTGCTCGGTAAAATGTTCTTTATAATAACTCGATGCCGGTCATGCGTCGTTTGTAATGAAACATGCACACCCTGTGTGTGTTCTATTATTTGCTACAATACACACCCTATCGATTTGACTCAACGACCCCTTTCTCACGGAAAGCACGCGTCGTTCGAAGACCACCTCGTGAAAGCTTCCGCGATACTAATCGCGCCAGAAGGCTCTTGTAAAAAAAACTATCTCTCTCTAAAAACACTTTCTGATCACCGTTGCAAGAGAGAACAGACCGCTCTGTAAAAATGTTCGCGCCATTAACTGTAACTCGGAAAAACTGCCTGAGTGAAAATTATTACTCACGTGAATTCTATCGCTAACGATCAGAAAGGAACGCTCGTTCGTTTTTTCCGGCGTCGAAACAACGTAATTTTTCTGTCGCGTATCAGGAAACAAGTTTCGCATAAAAAAGAAAATAAGATAACGACGTCTTCAAATCTAAACGACTTCTTACGTCATTAATCAATGTTTCTGTGACATGTCGTTCTGAGAAGTTTGCTAAGATTAATTCTGCCGAACAATCATAACGACGACGTTGTGTGCTTTGTTTCGCTAATGCAGTACTTATCAATTCTATTTCAGGAAGTCGGATGTTAACCCAGAAATCTCATTGTAAAGAAACTTGAGAGAAGTTCAAGAGGTGTTTCTTGAAAAAATTAATTTTTACGAAGGAGCCGCGGGAAGGGAAATCGGCATCGAGAGAGATCGACGGATGATCGACGAGCGAATTGGTGGTGCGAGCGTAATCACGGTGTTCGCGAACACGAGAAAAGAAGAGGAGAAACGAGCGTGACTGAGCGGCGGAAGGCGCGTCGTCGTCGTATGGGGAGGAAAAGAGCGAAGACACGTTCGAGTGTGGCGCGCGAGACGAGATCGCAATGAAAGTCAATAAACCGTGATGAGTAACGGAGAGTATAGTGGTCGGAGTGGCATTAATAAATTAGTGTCTACTTGCTGCTGCAAGCAACAGCAGCGGCGGCGGTGGCGGCGGCGACAGCGGCAGCAGCAGTAGCAGGAGTTCGGTGGAGGAAGAGGACGAAGAGGAGGAAGAGGTGGTGACGGTGGAGGAGGAGGAGGAGGAGGAGGAGGAGGCTTGGACCTCGAGTGCGTGTGTGCACGTGTGTGCGTGCGTGCGGATATATGTGACCGGCCCTGTCAATGCGGGGATTTGGCCAGTGTGTCAGTGTGAAAGAAGACAATTGACTCGCAGCCGCCGTCCGTCGGACGGTGCTCGGCTCTCGGCGGGGGTTTTTCTGACGTCACATCCTGCCCCGCGGCCTGCACGAGCCGCGATCTCATCTGGACCACGGCGCTCGAAGGTACGCAGATTCGTGCACTCGGCGCAAAGCCCGCTAGCTAGAGTTTGAAAAGCTCGGTTGAGTGGATGCCTCCTGCGGGGATCGCCGGCGAGACAGTAATGTTGTCGAGATTGTTACGGTGAGAACATATGTTCCGAGGGGCGAGTTACAGTTGGTAGTTTCGACGTGCGCGCTCGTCTTCAGTTGGAGTAGCAAGGGCATCCCTTTCTCGCTTCCGAGTGTCGCAAGATTTTGAGATTGCCATGATGGATATCATGAATTATAATATCAGAAAAGAATTTTATTTTTATTATTTATATTTTTTTCGGCAATATAGCTGAAATCTAAAATATATAAAAAAAAAGTATTTAAAAACATGTTTTTATTAATTTATTATGTGAAATATGTTTAAAGAAAATTTATATTTTTGCAAAAAAATATAAATTTTTTTAATAATTAATAAAAATTAAATTAAGCAATACTGTTACATATTAATAGGACCGACATAATAAGACTTTGAATAATATACTCTCGAACACTTGTGTTCTGCGGAAGAAGAAATCGCGAGCGCGCGCGATCGAAAGCGCGCGTCCGTGTTCGGATGCTACCGCGAGTTGGTCACTCTTCGTGGTCATGAGCGCGAGATTCCTCATCGTGGCGTGAAATTTCAGATGACGTATGATAGACCGTCTTCTAATTAACTGGGGCGTTACGCGAGCGTATTCAGACACCGTGAGAGAAAGACGCGAACTCGAGCGACATTGGTTATCACTACAAAGATATTGCGATGAAGATACAGCGAGTAAAAAAGCAAAATCATTCTTTTTTGTTTTAATTTCACAATCGTTGAGCTCAATTAAAATATCTACAATTATTTGTCTTCGATCTTCGTTATCCGTCAAGGTCGTCACATGCGTTTCGCTTCAACGACGGAGTTCAAGTCGGAGGTGTGCGTTTTATTAATCCGATAAATTGTGAGGAGGTAATTTCGCGACCTCCGCGCGTTGCGGAACGAAGAGCAACTCGTCAAGGTGTACGCGCGTACGCAAAGAGAAATTCTATCACAGGACTAACGCACATATCCGACAGGAAATGCAAGGGTCTCTGCGATTATTTATGCTGGGCGGGCGCGCGACGCGGGTCGTCTTTCTTTCATAGATCAAACTCAATTGACCCTGTGAAAGAGATAATTGTAGGAGTTCACGATATATACTCCGAGGGTGTTCGAGGAAATAGATGACGGTTTGCATTACGCGACGTTGTAAATTAACACTTTATTTCGTCTCGCGTACGTTCATATCAGTGACATCGGTTTCGATGTGTCGCGTTTCGTATACAAAGATCCGTTCGAGACGTGTAACGCGATGTGTGCACGTTGGACTCCACCTCGAGTCACAGATGTAAGCGGAAGATACATATCTACACGGTTAGAAATCCTATACGTTCATATCATACATCAAAATTTTCTTTTGTTACCAGTTTTCATTGTTATTTTAATACAAAATTTACATACAAGCTGATGTTATTATTTTCGTAACACATTTTCACGTGTTACATTTATGTTGAAATAAATTTTCAATTAAACATAAACTTTGACAAACATGCCAGATAATCAAATTTAATAAAATCAAATGTTTCCAATAATTTTAAGTGAAAATAATTAATATATTATGTATTAAAATATAACATGAAATATATAACATGAATAATAAGTGTTCTCTTGAATTATTTAACTATTGTTAAAACTCAGAATACTCGGTTATACATTCAGTCGTATGTAAAATGTTTTCTCGTAGTCTCAGGAAAACTCCGCTTTACAGAGATCATCTGTCCGACGAGTAGGATTTTGGATTGCACACTGAGTCTAATGAGAGTTAAGAATCGGAGCGGACGAAAACTCGTCTGTCTTGCGCATATATCTTATCAGAAAACCATTACTCCCCACAGTCATTGGTTGCCAGCGGTATCCCGTGCCACAACGCTATCCTCATTTCATTGGCTTTTCTATTCCCATACCTTTTCTTCTCTCATTAAAGTCAGTGTAGTCTAACAATCAGTGTAGTGTATACATCAGTATTTTTCTTGGCTACTTATTTATTTTAGATACTTATTTTAGATATAGGTGAGATTAAAATTCGACCATTCTTGTGTTAAAATTTTAACGCAACACTTGAAAGTGTTGTTAATATTTTTTATTTTCAATACATGTTAATAATTTACGTATAATTTTTTGTTAAAATATTAATATTTTATATTACTGTATTAATATGTCAAGTAACTGAAGAATTATGTTAGAATATATTTCTTTATTTACAACATACAAACAAACATATCAACTTTTTTTTTATTAATTAACAAGTTATTTTAACTCTTTTATATATAGATTTTAAATATTTTGTATGTTATTTTTACGTTAAAATCAAAATCACAAATATACGTGTTAAGTGTAGTGTCAATTATTTAACATTTTTTGTTTATGTCAAGTAACGACGAATAAGTTATTTTTAAAATTTAGATTGGACTTTTTATTGTGTAATTCGGGAGGAAAAAACTGAAAAAGATCTCGAAACAGTAGCGAGGTAAGCTGACTAGTTTCGTCCAATACATTCGTCGTGTAGTTCATATGCATCTTTTCTTTTTGATACTTTAGTCACGAAAGGGAAGTCGTAAAACCGTAAGCGGCAGATACAATAAAAAAAAAATGAGCATTGTGTTTAGGCAAGGCCGGAAAATCAGTTTAAACGCTTTGTACAAGAGAAAACGTGGCTTGAATCGTAAAGAGTTCGACAAGCGAGTGGCTCTCGAACGCGTTAGATTCTAATCCTGACTCGATTCTAATTAAAAATATATATATAACGAATTATAAATATTAATTAGCATCTCATCGAGTTTTATAGCAATTAGCGGCACCGTTAGGAACGAGTTATATGATTTGTTCTTTCAGCGGAACGATGATCCACCGCGACAAGAGGATCCTTAGGATCTTTTTCTTGCTCAACTTAATTGCAAAAATTTCGGCGAATCGGACAGAGTCGCCAAAAATAGATATAGTCGAGGAAACGGAAGTTCTTACCACAACCAGGAAAGAATTGCCGGACAAGTGCCTTGTAAAAATGGGAGAGCAAGGACCTTGCAAGCAATATATATACAAGTGGACTTTCAACAAGACCAAAGGAGAGTGTCAGACGTTTATCTACGGCGGTTGTTTGGGAAATGAGAATCGTTTCAATTCGGAAGACGAGTGTCTTCATTACTGCGTCGGCGGTCCTGATCGTAAGATATTCAAAAGATTGTGAATGAAGACATAAATAATTGCATATATTGAACAAATTTTTACGTATTTTATGAAATCGAATTATTTGTAGACACATTACCCCCTTATCTCGTGACGAAAGGCAGTGTGTTCGTCACAACGAGCACTACGACAACGAGCACTCCACCCCCGACGACTTCCAGCACACCACGACCAACTTTCAGACCTCCAAAACCGACAAAACCGCCAGTGCCGAGACATCAAAGAGGAATGGTAAAACATCACATAATACATAAAAAAAAAAAACATTATTTTACAAAAAAAAAAATTATTTTTTTTTTATTTTTATATATTTCTCTATTGAAGGAATTAACGTTTATGGAAACTGGATACGAGAAGACGTTTATGTTTGCACAAAGTAATACTTTTATTCAGCTTGATGGTCCCGGCATCAAACCGTTCCAATTGAGGTAAATTATTTAAATTATTTATTTATTTTGCGGGTGGGAGAGTCTCTAAAATGTCACATAGATCGGTTTTTATGAGTTTCTTTGTGGTCCTCCGGGTTTGCAGCCCCTGCACTCAGAGACCACTGGGCCGGTCTATATGTTAGAACTAACTAAAATTACATTTTGAAAAGTATTTTTTAACATATTTTCTAACTTTTTAAAATATTTTTTAATATTAATCTAACAGATTATGCCGTGAGATATCTTTCAAGTTCCGCACCAAACTTCCGCACGGCTTGTTGGTTTATCATAGCGTTAAAGATCGGCCGGAGAGTCTTGACCCTTATGCCCTTTACGTGATAGTGGAGAAAGGCCAACTGAAGGTTGTTCACGTCTTCGGAAAACAATCCACCAGTCTGACGGTCGGTGAAGGTCTTAACAGAGACGAATGGCACAGCGTTCGCGTGAGAATCGACGTGCACGGGGCAAAGTTAATCGCCCGAGTCGATGATAAGCAGGCGGAGACCACTCTGAAAGTTCTGGAACGCGTCGTTAATTATGGTGTATCCGAGGAACTAGCGTCGGTCGTTCTTATTGGAGGTAAGATCTTTATGTATTCGATCGTATTAACGACGTGCCCAGCATCCATTAGTTTGATTTTTGCGAGCACAAACTTTTCCTCTTCAATAATCTCTTTTCTAATCTCTTTCTCTACCTCTTCCTATTCTTTTCCTTGGCTCTTATCTTCGTGCAGTATTTCTTCTACCAATCGGGCATCTTTCACATTGGCATATCCATCAGGCTTGTGCTCAAATTGTGACGACTGCGATCGCTTTTGGGAAGAGGATTAATTCGAGATTTCACTCGAATTATTTATTGAACGCTCGATTCTCACAGTTCGCTTTTCAATCGACTAACACGATTGAAAGGAATCGGCCCGGAAAAATCCTGTTTCGAACTCGGAATCTCCCGTGTTCGCAATCCCTGCACTCAGGCTGCCAGAAGACCAGTACGTCGATCTTAATTATCTCTTTGTCTTGGCAGGATTAAGCTCGGAGGAACGATTACACGGAGTGAAATACATAATCGAATCTTTCGTCGGTTGCATCAGGGATATGATTTTGAGATCTGGAAAATCGGCCAGCGATTTGCTACCAATTCATCCGTTAATCGCGACCAAACACGAAAATGTTAAGGAAGGCTGTATTGACAAGTACGTTTGTTTTTTTGAAATTCTGACAGAGACAATTACAAGATAGCTTAATGATACGAAAAAAAGGAACTTTAATTTTATCTGAAATTTAGATGCAGAACACGGGAGAATTTGTGCTTCAGTCCAAATCAGTGTGTGAATCATTACAACAGTCTAACATGCGACTGTTTCGGAACGCAATACGAGGGCGAACGTTGCGATGTGTACAGTACGTAAAGTAATTGAATTTAATACGATACATTTTTCGTGTTCTCTAAAAAAATATCATCTTCTGCCTTGAGTCTTGATTCAAAACTAGTTAAAAAACTTGACATTTACATTAAGTTAATAATCAATATTAAATAATTTCTAAAAATATTAAATATATTATTTCTAAAATATTGAAAAAATTCTGAAAGAAAAAAAATAAAAATTTTATCTGAATATACGCTTATCAGAAATAGCTATAGAATTAATCGCATTATATAGCAAAAAGAAAGACAGAGCTTTTATACGCATCTAGAAAAAAAAAAAAAAGAACCGAAGTATTCCAATATGAAACTAATGGAGTTGGAAATGTAACATCATTTTTCAGCGGCGACGATACTAACGCTGAGAGGTTCCTCTTACGTGTCTTTCCGCGTGTACGATTGGAAGGATCGTGTTCACTCGTCTGTCAACAGAATCAGTCTCGCTTTTAAGGTATTTGACCACGCTTATTCTAACGGGGGAACCGCGTTTCTTTGCCCTTGTCGCGGACTCATTGATTCATTATAGCGAGACGTATCTTCTTGGAGTCGAGAGGGACGCACTTTATAATTTTACGAGCAGCTGTGCTTTTTGACCACCCCGACAAATTTCTATGGCGAAAAATTCACCGTGGAAATTCTACAAAAGAAAGTGTCGAGTTCCACTTCACGAATTCTATTGCGGCGAGCTATTGTGCGTGGGGAAAGGGAGGGGAGAGGGAAGGGAAAAAGTGGGCACAATATAATTCGTAGTATATTGAATGTACATTTATTGTTACCGGATACTTTTCATGTGTTATGAAGTATAAGAGATCGGATTGAAATTATTATATCATATAGATTTTTATTACAAATTATTTTAATAAATGTTTTAAACATTTTAGATTTAACTCAATAACATTTTTTTTTTTTTTTTTTTTTGAAGAGAAAAAATGTCTGGTTAACAGTTTGCAAATTTTTATTGCAATTTGTTTTCAGACAAAATGGGACGATTCTGTCTTATTTTACGCGTCCGGCGAGATTGACGACACGCCGCATTATGTTGCGGCTTCTATTATAAACGGATCGGTCTATGTTGAACTGGATTTTGGGCACAACTCGAAGATCTTTACAATGCTCGGCGATTATGTTACGTCCGATCATTGGAACAACTTGACGATATTTCACAATGGAACACTCGTCTTTGTCAGTTTAGACGACGAGGTAAAGGTGCTAGAAGTACCGGGCGACAATTACAATATGATCATCGATCCGGAGATATACATCGGTGGTGGCCCGGAACTCCACAAGAAACAGGGTCTTCGGTCGTACAATAATTTCGCAGGTTTGACGAAGATTTCATCCCACCTCTGATAACTAATTGAAAAATCTTGTTTAATTAACAAAATTTTATTTTATTCCTTAAGGTTCTCTGAAGTACGTGTTTTTCAACGACAAATCGATTATATACGAACTAAAACGATCCAATCCTATGGTGCATTATATTGGTGTATTGGAGCCGGAGTACTACGAAGCCGACGTCGATGTTATTCCGATCACATATCCTTTCGCAGGAAGTCATATCTGGTGGCCCATAGAACGAACCGATTCGTTGAAGTTGAATTTCGATTTCAAGAGTTCAAAACCAATCGCGATCGTCGCCTCGGGAGATGTAAAGAGTGATCGTGGCGTTGGCTATTGGGAGGTCTGATTGCTATCTCTTTCTTTTTTGTGTTCCACTTCTTTTATTTCATTTATTTATTTATTTTTTTTTCTACATTTTATAGCTTCGTCAAGTAAACGACGAGATTCGTTTTCAATTGGTACCAGTCATATCGGAAAACATCACGGTGTCAACCTCGGTGAAGTTTCCGCCTTACAACACTTCTTGGCACGCGATCGAACTTAATTATACAAAAGGCGTGCTCAGCATTCTGCTTGATTACAGAAATAGACAAAGCAAAACTTTCGGCTCTATGACGTTCGAACTGGATGATAAAGTCATTATAGGAAGTGGCAAAAGTAATGCAGGTAATGATACCGAATATACTCGTGTAGAGCATGCCTGAGCGTTGATTAGTCAGTTACGAGTTAAACATATTTAAGTTTATTTGAATGTTTTCGTCTTATATTCTAATGCGGAAAATCGCCGGCCGCACTGATTTTGCGTCGAAAACGCCGATCAGCAAAGTGTTCAAAAATTCGAGAAATTTTTATATGCGCGAACACAAGAAAAAGATTTTCACATCAACAATTTTAGGTCTAGTAGGATGTATGCGTGAGATACGAGTAAACGATCAAAGAATCGAGCCAAGATACGTGATCAATACCGACAGAGTGGTCGGAGAAGTCGCTTTGGACAATTGTCAGTTTGTAGATCCGTGTAAGAGACCGAACACTTGCGAACACGGTGGCAAATGCTCGGTCAAGGAAGACAGAATCACGTGCGATTGTACAGATACCGGATACATTGGAAAAAACTGTCACTTCGGTGAGACAAATCACGACAAATCAATTGATAATTCAAACACCCCGTTTGTAAAAATAAATAAATATTTTAATTCCTCTTTTTTTTGTAGCACAATATAGAAAAACCTGTGAAGAGTTAGCTCTCTTAGGATACACGCAGGACGACGTTTACAAAATCGACATCGACGGCAACGGCCGATTTCCGCCTGCCCTGGTCAAATGCGAATTCCAGTCGATCGAGGACTCGACCAAAACGATTGTCGAGCACAATTTACCTTCCCAAGTAGACGTCAGATCCAACAGCGAAAGTGACTTCTCTTTCAGCATCAAGTACAGACAATTTACCGCTGAAATGCTCCAGGAACTGATCTCGCACTCGCTTTACTGTAGTCAATACGTAAAGTACGATTGCTACAAAGCACCTCTGGAGTTGCACAGCGCCACGTGGTTCCTCGGATCCAAAGGCACCACTGTCGATTATATTGGAAATGTAAATCGCGGATCCTGTCCTTGCGGAAGTACGTTCTTTCATAAGTAAATTGGATAATAAATACGTGCAGTTATTTCTTTTAATGTATATGTGATAAAAATTTAGCAAGATGTTATCTATTAATTTTATATCAGTGAACAGAACATGCGTAACGCCCAACTTGAGCTGCAACTGCGACGTGTCGACCGGAAACGCCGGAAAGTGGCTGTCGGATGAGGGATATTACGAAACGCCGGATTCTTTAGGCATTACGGGAATGGTGTTCCTGCAACAAAGAGATCTCGAAGAAGACGCTCGGGGACGTATCACGTTGGGACCATTAGAATGCGTCGAAACAAGTATGTGCATATTGAAAAAAAAAAGCATTTTTTATTTTAACATTTTCTTAACAGCTTATTAAACAAGCTTCAATGGCTTGCAAATAGAAAATTTTGAATGATTGCTTAATGATCATGTTTAGACACGCAGAAGTACGTCGTGACATTTACGACGTCGCAATCGTACATCGAAGTGCCTGGTTGGAGAAAAGGCGATATAGCTTTCAGCTTTCGAACAACAGGCGAAAAGGCTATCCTCTTGTATCAGCCGCCTATTAGAAGCAACTATCCTTCCTTTATGGTTGCGCTGACGTCCGAGTATCGATTGACCTTCCACTTCACTCTGAATACCGGTACTGTGCGCGAGCTCGAGGTGAAAAGCCGACGGAAACTCAACAATGGCGAGTGGCAGAAGATCTGGATCGATTATAATGACTATCACGTGAGATTCATGATCAACACCGACGCCGAAATGGTGGACTTGTTGCCCGATGAAGAGTTTGGACCTTTCGAAGGATCCATGTTTATTGGTGGTGCTACCGCGTAAATAATTTTTGCTTAATTAATTTAATTAATTCTTGTACGATTTAGATTAATTTTATCGTCCTATTATCTTTTAACGACGCTTTTCAGAGAACACTTAAAGAATTCTTCCGTTCGGCAAGGTCTCATCGGTTGCTTCCGCGGACTCGTTGTCAACGGAGAAATATTAGATATTCACAGTTACATGTCGGTACACTTGTCGGAAATCATCAAAGATTGTAAGCCTTCGTGTCAACCTAACAAGTGTCAGAACGGAGCCAGATGCGTCGAACTGTGGAGCAATTTCGAATGCGTATGCGAAAATCGATGGGCACACTTGGGCACTTATTGCGAAACCAGTAAGTTTTATTATTCGGAATAATAAAATCTTTAATTTTGCGTCTAAAATGATGATTTGTGAATTCAGACATCAACAACAAATCGCTCACATTTACCTCGTCCGGAGCGTTTCTGAAAAAGAATTATTTCGGACCGGACGACAATGAAGAGAAGCTGCAGCTGAAAAGCATGCTGCTTGAAAATATTTTGATCAATTTGAGAACTTACGACAAACATTCTCTCATACTTTACGCGAACGATCATTTGAACAACTTCGTGCATCTTTACATCTCGAACGGCACGAACATTGTGTATCTCTTCAACGCCGCCAACGAAATCAAGAACATCACCGTGTCGAATCCGAGTACGTCCAAAAATTCGATTTTTATGCAAATGAATGTGAGCGTGTGTACGTAGAAAAAAACTTTAAAGAGAAAAAAATGACGTATTTTTTTTTTTGTCAGATGTCAACACGGGAATCTCGGTACAGATCGCCATAATTCGAGGCGAAAATTGGACTACGCTGTACGTGAATGAATACAACGTCACATTGAACGCGACGCCAATACTTCTGGACACGTATTCAAACAAACCTTGGATAAATCCGGAGAAAGAAGTTCTGGCACCTCAGCGCCCGCCGGCGCCTCCTACTGATTATTTTCAAGTGTGTGTTTAACACTAATTCCGAATAAAACTAAACTTCAGAATATAAATGAAGGATATTTGGCAATCTTGATCAATTTTGTAGGTGAATTTAGGAGGATTCGATCCTGATAATCTGCTTAGAGTAGGCAAAGAAGGCGCTTTAATTCAAGGCTACGTTGGCTGCTTGCGAGGACTCATGATCGGCAAATATCTGGTCGACTTGCCGAGCTTAGCTAGCGAAGCGAATCACGAAGGCAGCAAAGGTGTTCTGCCGAACTGTCAAATGAAATGCGACGCGATGCCTTGCAAAAATTTGGGAATCTGCACGGAAGATTTTGACAGGCAAGAGTCTTCCTGTAACTGTGAGCTGACGTCTTATTTTGGCGAATATTGTGCCGACGGTGAGCGCAATTTTGATATTATCTTTCGTTAAACCAAATCTTATTGTTTATATGTTTCTTATAAAAAGCTTATTGCGCGCGCAAAGTAATTTTTGTAATTTCTTCACGTAAAACTTATCTCGCGCAGAAAAGGGCGCCGACTTCAGCGGGGACAGCGTACTTCAACGTGAGTTCGATCTCGAAGGTGAGGTGAACCAGGTGAAAGTTCAACTGGCGTTCTCGACAACCGAACTGCGACACCGAACCGCCGCGTTGCTGCTGGTACAGACCGACAACAAGTAAAGCATTGATCTTAATATTTAATTTAAACTCGGATATACGGCCACTTCGACACCAGTCACCTGGATGCCTGGAGTCCTGGATGTCTTTCGAAGAACTTTTTTTCAGAAGGAGCTACTACTTATTGGTGGCCTTGACGTCCGAGGGACAGCTCATCTTCGAGGAGGACAGGGAGGACGGCTTGGCGACTTACGGAGCACGTTTGAGCAATCGGAACTATCTGAACGGTGCACGTCACAGCGTCTATTACGTTCGTGATAATAACACGGCCACTTTATTAGTTAGTTGCAATTTTCTTTTAGTTTGGAATAGCCACTCGTATATGTGTGTGTGTGTGTGTGAACTTCTTGTATTAACACAATTTGTATATAATTTTTAGATCGACCGAGAGCCTGTTCAATTGGCGGCAATACCAAGAATACCACCAAACGAAGACGACAGTTCAGGTGCCACGGAGATCCAGCTTGGTGGGTTGAACACCACTGATTCTCGGTTCAGCGCTTATAAAGGATACACTGGTTGTCTCAGCAGTGAGTACCTTCGAGTAGATAGACAGTGACTGTTGTCAAGTGTATATCCAAGAATATCTTTTTTTATAAAAAAACATATATATATATATAGTTAACCATGTTGCAATTTACAAATTACAATTACTTTCTTCCTCGTAGACGTCGTAATATCGATCAACGGTGGTCCTGGAATGAAGCCGTTGGAGGAATACATGCTCTTCACGAAACAGGGCAGTGAAACTGTTCGAGCAACGATTCCTGCCGGTGTTAGAAGCGCTCAGTGTGCTGTCTTTCATGCTCAACCGGACGGTCTTGAACCGCCCAGAAATGACAGTGTGGTGAGAGATTTAAAAATTAAATGTTTTGCTAAATACGTAACTATTCACGTACATCATTCTTTAGTAGTTTACCAACTAACTTTTCTTCCCATCTGCTTAAAAATAAACAAATACGGATAATTACGTTATATATTTTAAATCGTACTGTTTAAAGGATCGTGATCGGGCGTGGGTCGAGGACCCGCCGGAGAGAATTCTATACAAGTCGCAGTATTCGGATGCCACTCAAGAGGAGCAGGGTGCTGGCACATACATCTTCATAGCTCTATGCTGTATCTTCGTAGCCGCGGTGGTTGGATGTATTTACGAGGTGTGGCGAAGTGCGCGCAAGGATCGTCAACGACGCCGCAATGCGGCATCGGGAGCAATGGCGACTTCTGCGGTCGCTTCCGGCTCGCAGCGATGGCAATCGCAACAGTACACGGAATCTCTGGTGAGCACGACTGGCGTGAAGACGGTCGGCTTCAAGATGGACGACGACAAGAGGCCGAACGGTACCCACGTGAAAGTTCCTAGTACCAAGGAATACAAACCACTGCCGAATACGGAGCCCAAGGACTTAATAAACGATAAGAAGGTTCACATAAAAGGTAAAGTTCTTACGAAGTTTAATATTCGAAGTCACTTTTTATATATATAGGCAGATAAAAAATTTATTAGTTTTCCTCAGAGTTACAATTTTCCTTACATTATAAAAAAATTTAAAACTAATTTATCTTTCTATTTCTCTACGAAATTTTTTACACAAACATCTTTTATTCTCTGCTTTTTAGCCTTTTTACTAGATATATTTGGGACCTTGAATAAGTTCTCGCTGTTTCCCAACAGAAGTGTAAACAACTTTTTTTTTCATAGTGTTAAACATGTCGAGTTTCGTGCCAAAAAAAAAGAATATTTGCGGGAAAGCAAGGACATTGGGTGCCGTACGAGTTGAGAATCCCACAAATATATCTTTTTACTAGATATAATTTTCTTCCTTTCTTCTCTCTCCTTTATCTCAGACTTTCTCACTAATTCTTCTATTCAAGTCACTTTTTATAATATTTGTATTTTTTTATGTATTGCAGCAGAAGAAGATCCAGAGAAAAAGGAGCTCCTAGGGGTAAATACAGGCATCGTCACTAAACCTGCGAAACCAAACCCATTTGTAAAGATTTTTTCTTTTTTCGTAAAATATTATGCTTCGCCTCTCAGGCCTTGCAAAAAATCTTATGCATGTTTCTTATTACATAGCATGTTTCAACTTCTCCCTGAACAAACATCCACGTGTGGTATGCAGTATACTTCTATAAACTCATTATTCGCATCTTCTTGAATCTCTTACATCTTGAATAATTACACAATTCTGAATTCATAATGTACTAAATTTGCCAGTATAGACTACACATTGCATTGCGAAAGAATGTAACACGGTGTATAGGTATTTTATTTTAATATTCTCGAGAATCTTACTATTATTTTCTAACTATACTAAGATTTTTATATGCTTACAAATCTCTCTACGCTTTCATGCAATGCCAAAAGACAAAATTTCGTACATTATTGTTATTTAAAGAGCGCTCGAACAATTAATGTTTGTTCAACAGTCGATGGAAGATCTGAGAGAAGAACCTGAGTTAGAAGAACGCGAAGAAGAAGAGGAAGAAGAAGAAGAGGATGAAGACATACAGGAACCAGAAACAGATGAAAAGAAGGACGAATCGCAGGAAAAAGAAGACGAAGATCAGAAAGAGGAGAAAGAAGACGAGAACAACGATCAAGACGGCGAGCTTTCTCTTAGGCCGGTAAGAAACAGAGCAAGAAGAACTTTCTTGACTGACGAATTGTTGGACCCAGACGGCACGCAGTGCCTCCTCGAGACGAACTTCTCCGTGACGGGTTTGAATGAGATCAAAACCGAGCGTATAACACCCGCGGCGAACAATACGACGAAGAATACTATGCCGATGAGGCCGATAAGTCTCGATTTGAATGCGCCAGTCAAATTTAAAAAACTGCGCGGAGAAGCTCGGCCCGAGAAGGTCACGGCAAGATTGATCGACAGCGACGAAGTGCACTTTCAATCTCGAAACAGAGACGTCGCGCCCACGTATTTCACTCAGGACAAATGATTAAAGTCTGCCGAATGACGACAATAATTAAAATGTTGAAATAGTCTGATATGTCAAACATATACAAATGTCAATATAAATTATGTAAATATTACCATGTGGATCAATTTTTAAAGTGACAATCGTACGCAATCATAGACATATCTAAATTACCTAAATTTTAAAACAGTATTTATCACAATTTAATCAGAATATAATAGTATCGCTTAATGCAGTCAAAACTAATTGCAGACAAGACTAATTGCTATCTGATTCAAAATTTGAGATATATTTTAATTAAATTAAACTTAAGCAACTCTAGTTTTGCGAGTTGAGCACCAAAGTTATCGCACTTTATAGTCATTTATTGTATAACTAGTTTATAGCACTATTTACATAATTATAAATTATCTCAGAATATCATGTTGTTTTACGCGTGAAAATAGTGGTAAAACACATATTATTATTGGAAGATAGCAAGTACAACTCGTGTTATCTAACGATGAAAATTGTTCATAGCTTTACTAGATAATTGTTTATTTAGTAAAGCATCAATACTAATCTTTTTATCGCAAGTCATGATATGTTGTACTTACTAATTTTATAAGTTCTTTACAAATTAGTATGTGTGTATAATGTTTGTCCCCTAGTTTAGCTCACACACATAATCGGAGAGAGAAAGACGTTGAGTGTAAAGTTAAAAGTTTTCGCGTAGTTTGAATATACATATTTCTTGTTACGTAGCGTGTCGCCGGTATTTTTTTAGTATTGAATATCTATTTTAAACAATGGCGCATGTACTTAACTCGAACAAAATGTTATTTTAAGATTCTAGTGCCTACGATAATTTAACGACAGCGAAACAAAAATAGCATTAAAAGTATACATTTACAACGAGTATTTTAAAACTAAGACGACATAAACTAAATAAAAAAAGATAAACGTAATGAAAAACTTTGTCGCGAGCAAAGAAAAATATTACGTTTATCTTCAAATAATAAAAGTGAAAAAGTGAAGTATTGTTTTATTGATTGAGAAGTAACGTATAAGTTATATATATAATTATTGTCACACATTTAAAAAATTATGATAGATTTATATATCGTTATTGTTGTTGGCTGCGGTGTACACCAAACAAAACAATTCATTTACTTAATGAAATTTGTTTGGATAAATTTTGCGGAACTTGCGTATTTTGCATACATTTATTTGTATGTGTGTACATACACTTGTAATTTAATTTATTTGTGTGTAGAGACATACACTTATTTTCAAAACGCATATAATATTTCGACAGTCTGCTTTGTGTGTACACCCGCTAGCCCGTTTAATTTGATTTCGCTGCTTCGTGCGATTGTAATAAAAAGCGAACATGGCCGTTTGTGTGCTTTTGGTGGCGATCAAATTACTCATATAAAAATCACAAAGCGAAAAAACGAATCGAGTCCGATTATCCGGAAGTCTCATCATTCAACTCAGTTCGTCAGAGACTTTAATACGCCATATTTTCAGCACAGGGATTGGTCTAATGCGAATGTCGAAGAGAATGTTATACCGTTAGACTCCATTATAAAACCCGATGAAACAAAAACACCGTGCGAATTATAAAGGTACGGGTTTTTTTTTTTTATGCATCATCTGTGTATAATAAACTGTACGAATGTCTGTCGAAGCTCGACAATCGCATCTTGGATCTGCTCTTCGCAGCATCTTGTTTCTCTCCCGGTGGCCCGCGAAATGTACTTTATTTTTTATATCGTACGATGAAGCATCTAAATTTTTGCTTTTCCGAATGCATTTCACAGAAAATTGCAACGATGCTATTATACGAACGAAGATTTGTACGCAAATAATAACAGTCGCTACAGACACATATTAACCCGCGAATCTCGAAACACACATCTCGTTCTATTTCAGCATGTTATATACGTATAAAGTAACAAGAGAAAATATAAATTTTTTCATCGACTCGAATTTGTTGCATCGCTGTAAACCATCTTTCATGCCTCTCCCACACTATCAAGCTTTTTCTTGCAAGTTTGTTGATATTTTTTTACTCATGATAAAATCTAATTTTTTTTATTCCCAGAACAAAAAAGAACAAATTGTACTTTATTACACGCCACTTACTATCATTAATTAATATTACTTATGTAACCGTGTTATTACCAAGCATGTGCATGATATGCTCTGATGATAATTCAATATTTTTATTAACCAAATCAAAAGTGTTTATTTTACATTGTCTTACAAAAGTTTATGATTGGAGAATTTTTTTTCGGTAGTTAAAATATAATTTTTTTTTTTTGTATCTAAACTAAATTGTCACGTGCTGAGTAAGTAGTATGTGTCATCATTTATATTTGACATATGAAGAAGACAAGTTAATAAACCATTTTCAGATTGACAAATTGTCAACTTAAAAATGTTGTCTGCAATCGATATTGATAACTCACGCACGATTGCATAAAACGCGGCGGATAATGCCTACAATTGCCTAATGTCGAAGTGAGATTTGTTCATGATACACGAAAAATATTCATTTTCATCTCACGCACCGCTTTGAGCCACAGAATTCCTCTGATTCTGCGAGGTAAGCCTGTTCGAAAATTTCACCAAGCGTGCTTCTCGCACTTACTAACCAGAAAATCGCAAAACGAATCTCTTGTTTCGCCGCTCACACGGAGACATGAGACGGGAAAAATTAAGAATTTTAAAACCAAATTTTTTTCACTCTTTATTTAGGTGCCTGCAGACACTGAGCCACAATCGAAGAGACAAGGACACTTCTTAGGTCAGTAACATGAATCGAAGAAAGTGTAACATGTATTAATAAATTTTACATATTTTGTCTACAAATTTCGAGATTTGTACATTTCAATTATAAAAAATCGCGCGCGGTTCGAGTTAATTACGAAGACTGTTTTGCTACTTTTTTGTTTTTAGCACCAGGCAGACCAATAATCGTCAATATGACTACTTTCCTGCCGGATGGTTCACGGTCCTTCGGCAATCCGCTGAGCTATCTAGGTGGTCCGCAACTGCCTCCGAGAAATAGATCTGTCGAATCGGTGCTGTCGTTGGATTGATCACGGATCAACCGTAGTTTGTCTAAGAAGCCGCTACACAAGCGTTAGCAGGATTCAATGAATCGTATTTCCTCAATCAAGAGAAACGGACGAGTCTCGAACGTGACGAGTGCCAATCGCCGATTTAAACAGACTGAATTCTAGATTATTTCAACAATTTATTTAAACTGTTTCAAAAATATATAAAACTGAGACTTACGTATTTGTTATTTTTATTTTCCAAAAACTCTAATATTACATTATCGTTTACTTGAATAATTCGAGTATCTGCGTTACGAATATATCGATTAGTTAATTAACGTTATAAGAAGTTCTTACGCTTATATTACATTTGATATTTTCGTTTATCCCTGTTTTTTTATTATCGGAGTAAATATGTTTCCCAAAAGGCTCGTGTTAAAATAGAATATCGCATCGAAAAGAGCGACAAACTGAGTAGTTACATCGAGAAAGATCTGCTTTCGACCAATATTGCAATAATTGCAGATATTACGTGCGACAAAGCAATATAAAAGTTGTTCGTACGAAATGTAAAGCGTACGAATCCTATATAAAAAAGGGCATTTGGACCGAGAGGTGCGCGTTTTGTGATTAACATGTCTGTAATTTATATTATATATAACATTAAATAATACATATTATACATATAATTTATTATATATTTATAATATTATACCTTATATTATATTATATTCATACTACAGTAATGTCACTGAACTCGGCCGCGCGGCCTTGGCGGGGCAATGACCTCGGCCGCGCGGCCTTGGCGGGGTCATTGACCTCGGCCGCGCGGCCTTGGCGGGGCACTGACCTCGGCCGCGCGGCCTTGGTGGGGGGGTCACTGACCTCAGGCGCGCGGTCTTGGTGGGGGGAGGTCACTGACCGCAGTCACGCGACCGCGGCGGGGTCAATGACTTCGGTCGCGCGACTGCGGTGGAGTCACTGACTTCGGTCGCGCGACCTCGGCGGTGTTACTGACTTCGATCACGTATATACATATATACATATATGCGTATGTGTGTGTATTATATATAGATATAGAATATTACATATAATATATATAATATTCTCTTTTTTATCCTTTTAGCACGGAATAGAACCATGTCCACGTTTGGACATAGCGTACGTATCGACAAGTCGATACGTAGGACATCGCTACGTAGTTGCCAATGTGCACCACCCGTTGACATGCGCTAGCTTACGGGGCGGAAAGCGATCGTAAAAACTCATGGATCTGGCCGCTCTCATTCTCTTTTCTTTGATAGAAATAATGTTAGATTCGACTCTGAGACTGCGCATGCGACACATCGTGCTTCCTGCATCCCGTCCTTCACAGCCTTTTAGTTGCGCTTTTGCAAGTATTTTCCTTTCTTACTGCTTTTACACGCACTTATTACAAGTAAGTACGTACTTCTGTCTAATACTACCCGCTTTCCTAAACTTAGTAGCATCGGTTCGCCCTTGTTGGTGCNGTCCGCTGGGCACACGGCCGGTGGCCGCCATTTTTTCAGGTTTAACGGTCAAGTAACCTCACTCGTTAGCTTTTCCAAAGCTACTTTTTCGCCTGATTTTGCGTCATGGACGCTAGTTTTGACCGGGGGATTGCCCCTCGGAAGCCTCCACTTCCTGCAGAAGGTTCTCCCCCGGGTGACAAAG